AAGAGTGTTTAAGAGATTTTGAAGGGTAAAGATAAGTTTCTTTCCCTGTAGTGTTCCAGCTTTTTGAGTTGCAGAAAGGTATTTGTTCAGTTAGGTCCAGGATAATCTGCATGACAGAGTAAGTTTGTTTAACTTCATACCATGTCTTAAAGATTACGTATATGAAGTGCATGTTCGTAAATTTTTGGGAGTACATAAATCTCACTTCTGGAATCTGTTGTAGTTACTTGGATTTTCAGATATGGAGTAACTTATTTCTAGACGTTCTTCTCTTGGGCCAGATGTATGTTGATAACAGGGTTATCACGGACCCATGGTGGTCTCGGCAAACTACACACAACTGAAGTGTTAGGTTTTTGGTGTATTTAAACATCTTCATTACTAACTTAAGTGATAACCCCCCCCCAGTATTTGTACATGCTTCTTATGTGCCTGTGCTCATACCCTCTTATCCCTTTGACATTGAAAGCAAGAACCAACATCCATATTTTATCAAATTTGGTACTAATGTGAACTGCAAAGTTACAAGTGTTGTAAACATGAGCATTATAGTGGAAGCACTGGCAAAATCTTTGTAATAATACGATTTTCCTTGTGCTAGTAAAATAAAAGCAAAGTTATTTTGGAATCCATTGACACATCTCTTTCAGAATAAATGAGAAAATCATACAAACAGCTATGGGATGGGTGAAAAATACCTTTTGTTGCATAAAGATAGATGGTTTTACATGTAAATTGCTAGAATGCAAATAAGAGAACAAACAAGAGGCTTATCCTTGAATCTTATTTTTTAAAAATACTCTGATGTTTTCCTGAGCCACATTAGCCAGCCTGTGTACAATAGCTGGGCCAGATTTCTGTAGAATTCCAATGTACATGAATATTAACAAGAAACCTGTTAAATAGATGCTCTTAGTCCCCTTTATTTGAATTTAAAGCCAGTCAATTGGCAGGACAAAACACAAAAATGAAAGTATTTCTAAGCCAGACATGGTGTTTTGCATTTTGATGATTTGTTTGGTTGATTTTTAAGCATTAATTTTCAGTTTATTTTCTTTGGGTTTTTCAAGCATTAGCTTTAAGTTTATTATCTTCATTTTTTATTTTATAAAAGTATAGTCCTGTAAATAGATCGAGTGTCAGGTAACTGTAAAATATTTCAATATGAAGAGTTAAAATGAATGTAAGAATTGTATTCAAAAGTAATTAGTCTCTTCTTTCCTCTCGCAGAGAAATTGCTTTTACTAGGCAACTTCATGAAAAAGCTCCTGATCTCTGTTTTTATTATATGGGTTTCTACATTCATTCATGCCCCAAAATGAGATACAAGGTAAAGTATGTTTTTATTTATTTCCTTAGTGTACTGTTATTCAAAACATTTGACAGTGTTCATAGTAATATTTTCTAATTGTAATTTTGGATTTAATGTAGACTTTATATGGTTAAATTTCAATGTTGGTTACTATTTAACTTGGCTTAGGATTTTTTTTTTTTAATTTAGCTGCATGTGGTATTTATTACAAGTTGGCTTAAAAGCAGTTCATGGGGAGAGGTTTTCAAGGCTGTCAGATAACAGTTTGTCACTTGGTTACCTGGCTATCTCATGTTTACAGTATATCTTCCAGCAGAATAAAATTCTCCCTTTTTTGGGTTTGCATATTTGTGGAACTGTTGCTCAGTGACTCTAGGCAGTGATAACATGCCTTCGTGGCCTTGGCTGTACTTGGCTTTTTCCTCTTTGTTTTTTCTTAGAGATAGGGGACTTGCTCTGCCGATGAAGCTGGTGAGAAGCTAGGTTAGCAGCAGTTTTGAGCTAGGTAGCAGTTTTTTTGAGGAAAGGGTCAGGAGAATCTCAGAACCTTTGGAATAACCAGTCTGTCCCCAAACCTCCACTGTAACCCCTGTTGGCTTCAACTTTGTTTAGACCTCAGTGCCTAAGGGGGTCTCTCTTCTGTGTTTTTTAGATCTTGTGAAAGTGGTATCTTTTCCCTGTAAATGTATCACTGCTTTTTGAATATCATGATACAATTTCAGAGTGCTGAACATTGATAGAAATTTGCTGAACATTTACATGTAACCAAATATATCTGTTAATAATGTGGAAAGATACAAAGATCATGAAATCTAGAGTAAGAGGTATGCAGTGTTTGTTTTTCTTTTTTTTTTTTTTCCTCAAAGCATGCTAAAAATCTGCAGAGTTTACAGCTAGTTTTTGATTAGCCAAACAATAACGAGGCTCGTTTGAAGTGATGGTTGTGAAGGGCAAATCATTGCAACCTTATTGTGGTCTATGCTACAGGTGACCATGGTGATTCAGTCTTCTGAAAATAACAAATAACAAATCCCTCCTGCTAGCCAAAGAAAGAGAATATGAAGTTGGAGGGAAGCAGATGGATGAGTTGGAAAACACTGCCCCTGTCATCTAAATCATCTCAAAGGCTATCACATCACCAGCTTGAACCATAGGTTCTGGTGACTTGCTGTATCCCTTGGAAACATTTAGAAGTTTGGGATGATTTGTTCAGGCTGAGACACTGCAATTTAACATGTCTATTCTACAACCTACATCATTCAAGACTTGTGAAAAGAATACATTTAGTTTACTAGGGCACTTTAAGAAAAGAAACAAATCTGACTATAATGGCAAAAAGCATCCCAGTTCTGAAATATGTCATTTCTAAGAAACCTTGGGTTCAGCCACGTGTAGTAAGTTTTAATAAAAATGTGAACTATGTGTACATGGATTAAACAAAGCTCATACCTGACTCAGTGTATTAAGGTAGCCAGCAAACTATTTAAATGTGAAGATTAAATGCTGTAAAACGGGGAACTAACCTCAGTAGCCACTATACATTTGTATTATTTATTATAATATGATATCCCTTCTGTTGGGCCTGTGTGTTTGAAAATGATTGCATCAAGAATATAAGATTCTCACAATACTTCTAGTTTTCATTCTCAGATAATGGAAATGGAATAAATTTTAGTGGCAATATTATAAGTGATTGTTCTCCCCTCTCCCCCCAATGTTCCTTTTCTTTCCTTGCTTTGACTTCACGACTATCTGATATGACTGTGATTTGGTAGAATATGCATTTTAATCTTCCAGAAACCTGTACATGTCAACATGCTTAGGTAATTAAGTCTGGCCCAGTATGAGAATTACTGAGGCAGCAGAGGGTGGGGAGAAAAAGAAAGGCTATACGTTTAGGTTTAGAACACACACAACAGCAGGTAAGTGATGCTCTGTGTTGGGAGAGTAATAACTCAATAAATTGATTTCAGAGGTTTTAATTGTGTTTTATATTTCTTTTCCTGTGTATATTTGTTTTAGAAGTGGCCAAATGTAATGCAATTGAAAAGCAGGCTGACATTAATTCTGTAGTTCCGCTTTGCCCGCCATGAAATAGTGCACCGGAAACAAATTTTAAAACTAAGCTCTGTAATGCGTCTGGATAATGCTGCTACTCTTGTGAAGTGATTGGTAGTGGTGAGGTAGGGTGGGTAAGTACTGACTTTGTGGATAAAGTGATTTCAGCAATGGCTGGTTGACTTAGGGGCATTACATGGTGAAGACTTTGCTTTATTACAGTTGAATAGAGATGTCAGAGGCTCACTTCCCTGATGATGTTAGTGTGGAAGAATGACAGGCTGTAGGGAACTGTTGTGAAACTGATGTCAGGTAAGCACATTAAATGAAGGAAAGAAAAGGAAGGAGCTGAAAAGCTACCACTGGTTTTTATCCTCTGCTTGTAATTTTTTTTGCAAATGAATTGTCCTAGGATGTTTCGAAATGGAGGCTAGGCACAGTGTCCCTTCTATTATGAGCAATGCATGCATGCTATATGTACAGAGAAGTCACACGACTTGGGAAGTCTTTGGAAACTTTCCTTCTTTTAGTCACAGACTATGATCAGTGGAAATGCCTAAGCTGACATTTGCATTTGATTTTTGATGGAACAGCAGTACGAAACTAACTCTAGCAAAGATGCCTGAGCTTGTCTGTTGGTTTGTACCCGTCAGCTGTCTCTCTCCCTGCTGATTGAAGAGGGGTAGCTGATGGGTTGTGTTGTATAAGGAAGAGTGACTTTATGATGTTGATTTAAGGAGTCTGACAGTGTTGCACTTTGTATGGAGTAAAACTCAGCCTGCTGTACGAGACGTGGGGGAAATAATTGGAGATCTGTGCAATGAACTGTTGTACTTAAATTACAATCGGAGACTGATGCATTAATGTTGTGCATGTGAGAACATAGCTGGATGTTTTGGTTTTAAATACACATGACTCCTAGATTGAAGGTATAGATATCCAACAGCAAGCATTAAAGCCTTGTTCTGCATGGCTGCTTTCTTGGAATGCAAATTGTAGATGTTTCTTCTGGATTCTATTTTGTGGATGCAAAGTAATAGTCAAACATTGGGTTTTAAAGCGTTGGTAATAGTTGATCATAGATACCAGTGACTGAGTCATATACAGCAACAGCTCCTCCATTCTGCAGCACAGCATCTCGGTTGTGTTGTGGGCTCTGAGGAGGTCCAACGCACTGATAGAGTGTTTTGTTGAAGTATTTATTTTTAATAAGGCTGCTAATATGCAACTGCGCCGTGCAGCTGTGGGATTTTAGCTGCTGCTGAGCCAGGGCAGGGGCTGAACTGGCAGAGAATATGTTAATAGACCTTTTTGTTTAAGTGTTCTGTTTCCAGGAATGGTGCAATTTTGGACATAAATATTGTGTAATCCAGCTGAAGATCGGAGCCCTGAATGTCCTGGGAGAGGATCCCCAAGTCAGGATTTCTGTGGCTCAGTAACAGAGTTGGAGAATTCTGGAATATCGGGCAGGAAGCTCAACAGTTAATGAGTATCGTCCACCCCATGGATCAGACATAATTACGGAAGTTTTTAAAAATAAAGCTCCCGTTTGACTCGCTGTTCCCTTCCCTTTTGTTCCCAATGGCTTTCATCTGATTGCAGTGTGATTTTAAAACAGTGGAGTACGGGTGAAATAGCTTCAGATGGGGGAAGGGAATGTGTGGCACTGGTAGGCTGTTTTTTAGTTCCTAGCTTCCATTAAATTTGTTCCCATGTATGGGTTAATATTTATGAACTGGTAAGATATAATCTACATTAAATTGAGACAAAAGGATTTCTGTAGTCCTATTAACTATGTTAATACGGAAAACTGCTGTGAAAAACCTTGAGGAATGGCTTTGTTCCATGTTTTCTGGGTAGGTTAGGGTAACACAAGATTAAAATGGTTCTCTGAAGAAATTCATGACCTTGTGGTAAAACTTCTTAGGCTCTGTTAGATGTGGTAGTTCTTATGTTGGAAAATAGTCTCCTGGAAAATTTTCCAGGACTCATAAGATGCAAAGTCTTTTTCCTAATGCATTCTGGAGTCTGTGATAAAATTTTAGGTATAAGAAAATATTTTACTTAAGGGTGATGTTGGTCTCAGGCTTGCTTCTCATGGGTTTAATTACTGTATCTGCACTTGTTAATGCTGTTTGGTTAAACACGTTTGTTTACAAACATATTTATAGAATTACAGAAATAAAAGACCTTGAGCGAACAGCCACATCAGAGGGATGCCTGAGAGGATCTTGGATTTTTTTCCCCTCTACTGAGATTTGCTCTGTTTTATCCCACATCTTTCCAAGTCAAGAATTTCACTCCATGGCTCTATGTCACTCAATTCACATTTTCCAGTCGCTGCTGACCTCCTTGGGATCCTTTCTGTTCTTTCCATTACAGTTCTTTGATACCGACGTTGAGTCTTGTGTGTCTAAATAGATCTGGGGTTTGTGCTTCGGGTGGAAGTGTGCTTGCTGCTCTGCATTTGCCGTTTAGAACTCTGCTCACCTTGAATCAAGTTCTCCTCTAAGTTCTTTTACTGGGAAGGGGTTGTTGGTGACGTTTTCTGCGTGAGTTTCCTGGCTTCTGGCTTTTCTGCGGCTTTTTCAGTTGCCAGTATTTGCACGCAAGGACTGCGATTGGAGTACGTCTGGTTACTTGTTTTGGTCAGTGATCTGCTTCCCCTGAAGCCGCTCCGCTCAGCGGGTAAATAACCATCAGCGCACTCTGAAGCGTGTAACGAATTTAGTGTCTTCTTGCTGTGTTATCTCTGTGTACCATTTTAAGACCCTTCTATGATGTGAAGAGGCGTTTTGACTGAAATCTTTATCCAGACTTGTATGCAGGCCAAAGTAAATGGAATTATTTCAGTCAGTCTCCTTCGGTATCAAGGCATGGCCAGACTTCAGATAGATGGAACACTAGAAAGGGTTCTGAAATGTCAGAAAAGAAACAAAAGGCTGATTCATCTGTGATTA